AATAACTTGTCCCCGCGTCTGCCCGCGTCCTGCCTCCAGAGCGCCCGCGTCTTGCGTCCACTCTGCCCGCGTCCTGCCTCCAGAGCCCCCGCGTCCGGCCTCCACGACGCCCGCGTCTTGCGTCTACTCTGCCCGCGTCCTGCCTCCAAAGCGCCCGCGTCCGGCCTCCAGTTAAAAACTGCGTCCGCTTGGACGCAGTCGTCGTAACATAATCGGAAAACGAACTAATGTTTGCATCATACTCGTAGTTTGTCGTGAGAATACAGATCAGTGTCACTGATCGGAGAAGCAAAGAATAAAAAGTTGAATCCGAAATCGAGTTTCATTTAACCTAAGCGTTACACTTAGTATAACCATTTTATAATGTTATACGTTATACTACAGTAAGCGTAGTGCTTTTACAATGCAATCACACGTACTTGAGTCGCGATTGAAGCGTATATGACTGTATATTGGAGCGTAAAATAGACATAAACTATATATAAATATAATGTAGCCACATATACTAAACTCAGTGAGATCACGACTACAACGAGTATATATCTCGCAACACATTCATTTGCTACTCAAATTCAGACTTACCTCGTAGAAGATTGCCGATTAGTTGATATGCAATTCTGTATTTGAATAATGTTATGTCTCCGTAACTCGTCAGAATATTAAAACGAAGATGCTCATTTACAATATATATAGTGCTTTTGATTTTTCATATAAAATACCATTACCACGAGCCACTACATAATTTTATTTACAGCAACAAGTTTGTGTTGTTTTTCCAAAGCAGTAAATGCACATGGTGATATGTCACATAAATTGATAATTACCATATAATTTCTGGATAAATGACTTCTCTTAACCCCTTAATGGAATACCTTTACATGTCCAGGAAACAGTCTTTGTGTTTCAACACGGTTCAATGACTGTGACTCATCGCTTGATTTTCAAAGTTGCAGTATAATTCGCTAAAGCTGAAGTGAAGAGCTCAGACTAATATCACTCGATCCGTATTACTATCAGACTAATAAAATGAGGTATCGCGATCGCTTACTTGTCAACCAAAACGTATTTTGGGTTTCTTCGAAGAAGATATAAAACCATACGCGCATTTTGCCAACCGGCAACGTTAAAAGATTACTGGGTTTAAACCAAACGTTATACGAAGGTGCGAAAGTAGAGATCAAATACGAAAAGGAACTTTACGAAGCACAAATTTTGAAAATTCACGGTAAGTTTAATGTTAGAAATATAAATATCTAGGATTCTAGGTCTGCAACGCTTGTGTATAAGCATAAAACGTGGTGTGAAATCGCTAACATGAATATTTTCCAACGCCCACGGTTTGTTTATGAAAAGCGAAACGCGATAATTTCCGACGATCTACGAATAGAACTCTTTCTCAGCTGCGTCCTCGCCCGCAGACGCAAAGCGGACGCATGGCGCCCGCACAGTGGACGCACCCGCAAGCGCCCGCAGACGCACAGTGGACGCACGATGGACGCACGGCGCCCGCAGGACAGACGCACCCGCGGGCGCCCGTGGACGCACAGTGGACGCAAGATGCCCGCGTCTTGGACGCGGTTTTTGATAAGTTATTTCTTGGCAGTACTGTACTGTAGTAATGAAGATCATTGCTATTTTTCCAAATTCCTTTTTGTATACTGTTTAGAAGTTTTGAATGGTCTTAAATGATAATGGAATGAATCCAAACTTTATTGATTATATTCCTCAGTATTTTGGAAATATACATATCTAAATATACAAAATATGATACAACTAATTGTCATTCATGACAAGCATTTGGAAGAAGTTAAATTTAGATCCGCCAAAAGATACATTTGAAATAATGTTAGTAATTTCTCTTAATACAGGAGATGAAGACAATATAAAGAAGATAAAGCAGTACCTTCAGGATAGTTGCCATTCCCGTGCTTTGACGTGCTTGATTTGTATTGCATCTGTAAAACATATTGATGCTGTAAGCTTTTTCTTTTCTTTCCTTATCATCAATTCATTGCAAATTATCAATCAGTAATTTTGGCTTATTAACATTTGCCGTTTGAAATGCTCTTTTATTATTAGGTTTATATTAAATTATAAGTTTATAATACAAAATGTATAGAGGTTTATTATTATATTACTATATATAATAATTATGTACATATTAAGCATTTCCATAATTGTATGATTATTGATATACCGGTACTCCTAGCAGTACAGCGGTTACAGGACACCCTTTTTGGCGTTTTGCGGAAAATCGCTACTGCGCGCTCAATATCAGTCCGATTTTCATCAAATTTTCACCAAATGTTCTCCAGTGCATGCAAAATATGGTACATGCAGTTGTAAAATTAACAAACAATAAAATAATGTAAGAATTATTCAGGAAAATCTTAAATCGCGGTACCGTTACGCTTTTGAGTTATGCTCCTGCTGGTTTTAAGTTATATTTATGAAAATATCATTTTTATACAGTAAAATAGTTGTTCTAAAAAAACGTGTTCGGAAATTTTTGTTTATTTCGTCATTCCGCTGATATGGCGATTTCTTTGACGACTGCAATATATTTCTGAATTGTTTGAGTGAATTGCTCTTTATTTTTAAAATATCCAAAATTAAAAAAAAGCCGAACACAATTTTGAAACTGACGTCTTGAGCTATGTCCTGTGAAAATGTGAGAAAAATTGGTTAAAACCCGCAGGAGCACAACTCGTTTGAAAATCAGTAATTACCGTAAACATTTTCGGGAGAAAATTGAATTTGAATATTACATTTTCAATGCTTTTCTTATTGCAGCGAAATGTATTTTATTAAATAACTCCGCGAGTTTTCAACATTTTTCGTTCAAACTTGGTCAGATAGTAGAACTAGTCTAATGCTTTCATGGAAACCAATAAAAAATTTTTAGACAAAATTAACACTCAAAGGTGTTCTGTAACCTTAATAAGATAAAGATTAATCCAGAAGTGAAAAAATTTTAGGACTTTGGAAGTGGGAACCCAGTTCCCAGAATTTTAGGATCTACATTTTTACAGAAATGTTCAGATATTTTTTATGTTTGATAGCTAGCCAATCCTGAAAATTAGACTAATTGAGTATCTATACATTTAGAACACCTGATTATTGAAATGGTTGAATACATAATCTCTATATACTAACTTCAGTTGATACCTAAATTACAGTGGCACAGTTCCATAAAAAATATTCGTATAGCCTGCAGTAGGAAATGTACTGTTTTGAATCCTCTAGTAATATATAATAATATAATATATTATAACCAGGGATGCCGGAACCACGGGTGCAGCGGGTGCAAGTGCACCCCTTGCCTTTTGCATTTTCAACTTTGTGGGTGCAGTGCGGGTGCAGACTATGGGTGTAACGGGTGCACAAAACTTTTACAACAGACAGAATTAAACGTCGTTCGAGGATGTGTGTGGGGGTGTTCCACCCCCCAGTCAGTCATCAGGAATTCGGCAAAATTGTTATCCGTTTGGCGAAAGGTGAAACGGAAAGCATTACTTATGGAATTTTTGGCGAGAAATTACGGCGGAATTGTGCCTAAATAATTGTATTCGGTCCGAAAAAATTTGGTGACAGGGAGGGAGGTTGACACGAATGTAGGATCATGACGCCCTTTCAATTTCATTGGTGCCCTTTTATTAAGGAGTATGCCGTCTTGTTAACCAATTGCACCCCTTGCCCTCAGCAACTTCCGGCATCCCTGAGTATATAACTATATAATATATATATATGATTACTTTAAAAGTTATCTTGTACTGTATCAGTCTAACCCAGGTTCCCAGAAAAAAATATTTTCAACCTCTAGATTAATCTACCCTAAATTATACAGGGTGTATAAAAAAAGTATAGACACTTTTGAAACAGCTCTCAATTTCACAAATCCGTTCATTTAATGAAATTTTTGATAAAATTATAAATATAGATTGTTTGGGTACCGGTACTTATAAATAAAAATGTAGAATAATTATAAACAAAATATTTTCGTAAAGATAATAATTTCATATTTTTATTGTAAAAATACTAATTAGGTAAATGCGTGAATTAAGCATGTGTGATAATTGGTGGCAAAAAATGAAACTTTCAGCAGCTATTTATACGACTTAAAATTGAGTAAATTTTCTGATATTAATTATTAATTTGGAGCGTTGATAAAACACATAACAAATTTCTTGCATTTTGCACGCAAGCTATTTTTAATGCTGCTCAAAAAAACACACACCCTCCCTCCTGCTCTTTAAAATTTATGGAAATATTTTGTTTATTCTACATTATAAATACCCAAACAACGTGTATTTATCAAAAATTTCATGACATGAACGGATTTGCGAAATTGACAGCCGTTTCAAAGTTGTCTACTTTTTTTATACACCCTGTATAGTCTCATAATTAAATTACGTACATTATGTAAATTTGTACTCTCATACCAGAAATTACTGTATAGTGTATAATACCCACTGTATTTATTGGTGTTTGTGCATTGCATGCTTCGATTGCGATAAATACACTAATTCATGCATTGCCTTTCCAACAGATCTGGAATTGCGCTCAGTGCTATAGCATCTTTCACCTTCAATGTATTCAAAAATGGTCGAACGACGGCGCCATTCAAAATTTGCCTTTATCCCAGGAACATTTTCCCAATCAGGATGTTATGTGGTTTTGGTAAGTTGAATCATACGATTTTATATAGCTGTGAAAGTGTGTCAGTTACATTTCGATAAATGTGGAAAACTTTGAGGAACTGACTTAACATTAAATGCTTGTGTATAGCTCAGTTGGTCATGCAGATCGGTGCTGCACGGGAATCGCAGGGCTGCAGGTTCGATTCCTGCCAGAGGACCTATATACTAGTTGCATTCTTCCCAACTGCTCCTGGTTAAATCTAATAAATACTAGAAATTTCCATCTACAAAACCCTTCTAAATACAAGCAAGTCTATGTTATTTTATTTTTGATATTTTTACCAGAATATTCATGGTTAACGACCTCTAGCTATGAAACCCCACACAGGTTTTTCCCCCAACAACTCAAACTGGCGAGTTCCTGGATAATTTGTGTGTGTTTAGTGTAATCTTTCTAAAGTTCTCTTTCATATTTTGCATACTTTAATTAAGCCATAGAGCCGCATGCAGTATATAGATTATAGCTTCTTCACGTTCGATCACCTGGGTGATAGATAGAATAATGTTCCCTTGCCCTTTATCAATAGAATAACAACTCAATTATTTTCCAACTCAGCCCAAAATGTAGATGTGAATATAAACAGACGGAGCGACCAAAAGAGTACATTTGTTTCTGTGGTGAAACGGTAAGCGTCAGTTTTAAATTTTATTATACTTCTGCAAGTAATACGCTCTTTGCAGTTAACTAAAAATAGTTGAGAACATCAGAACAATAAGTGACTGGAGAGCATGGGGTACTGTAGGATGTGTGAACAAAGGGTATTGAAATGTTTTAGGCCAGTTCTCAAACCGATGTTCTTTATCACTGCTTGGTATCCATTTTGACTTTTTTAATCTGCAGAAAGGACTGAAATACATTAAGTGAATGTTTCGGCTGTAGACTTGAAAGGGTGTAGACTTGTATTGTTCATTAATTTACCTTTTTTCCAAATGGATATGATATCTTTGTCATATATTATTATGTATTTCAGTTGCATCTATTCGTTGTGAAATAAACTGTTTCTATTTCTAACTAAAGGTAAATCCGAAATTCGATCCTTGGTCTATTCCTCATTCTTGCGGTAAAGTATGCGCACGTCAACTGACCCCAAAGTGTGGTCACAGTTGTCTCTTACTTTGTCATCCAGGTAACTGAGTGCTTTTGGACATTTTCTTAAATTTGTGTTTGTTTATAATGGTAGAAAAATTAGCAGTTTACCAAACGTTGTAACAGTATAGACGTGCATATTTTAATTCGTAATATAAATTGTGTTTGATTATTCGCATATGAAATGTACTCAATTTTGCAGAGGTGTATGTAGTTGCGGCAGTTGCCATTTGCTCCATCGGAGTTTTCAAATGTTTCTGCAACGCTATTTTCTTCTTTCCCCAAGTCCTAATTGATTGTATAATGTATTGACAATTTAGGGCCATGTCCTCCGTGCCCGAAAATGGTCCAAGCCAGGTGTCATTGTGGTTCCCAGCCTCCTACCAGTCGTCGATGTTGCGCCAAGGAATGGTCATGTGGTAAAGCTTGTGGGAAAACACTTTTATGTGGACACCACAAGTGTAAAAATCCCTGCCATGCCGGTATAATTATTCATTCTTATGTGTAGTATTCAGTAATCTACAGCTAATTCAAAAAAGGTTGTCCTTTGCAAAACCTTAAACTCTAAACCAGCTATTTGTAAATGGATTGTCTCGTAAGGAGATATTTACCACGTTTCTAAGAAATGGGCCCAATATCTGCTTTCTAAACTGGTTAAATAATGCTCCCATTATGCTTTGCACGCTTAAAAGGACAATCTTTTTTGAATTACCTGTATATGGATTCATATATGTGCGAAATGTACTTTATAATTGCATGTACTGTATAGAGAATTAGTCTTAATTATATTAAATACATGTAGAAAGAAAAATTCTTCTACATATATTACATGACACTGATATATAAATTTGAACTTAATAAGGTATTATGCTAACCGGCTTTTCAACAACAGGCCCCTGATATAAACTTGAGACAAGTTTCCCGTCTAAGACGAGGAGCTTGTCTAAATTTACCATCGTTCAGAGGGGAAAGTCGGACGGAAAAGTTGATACAGAAACCCGTCATTTACAGAATTTACATGTATATCAGACAGAATGATGATGACGAATTTGAAGTAAAGTCGAAAAATTACCGGTCCAAACTTGTATTTCAGGATGGTATTATATTCTGCGGAAATTGTATTAATTAAAGGACAGTTATTTTGGGGAATTCTTTATTTCACAGGTCCGTGTCCACTTTGCCCCGAGCGAAGCACCCAGAGTTGTATTTGTGGACGAAACAGGTCAATTCGACCTTGTGCTGAGCCTCAGTGGCTGTGTACAGAGGTACAGTAATGCAAAGTGCCTTTTTATGGCATTGTGTTGGTGGCAATTGTACTGTGCATTTCTCTATTCTTGTGTCCTGCATAATCTAGACTTAGAATTCGATTAATCGTGAAAACTCCGGTGGAGCAAGGCATACGCCAATTCGTTCCGAGGCTCTTACCTGGGCCTTGCCGCGGGGTCACGCATTTGTTTAAAAGCTGCCCCACGCGGAATAGATATACAGTACTTCTCGAATGAGTACCGGCTGTAATTAGTAGACCGCAGTAGCAAATAGAAGAGAAGCTTGCTAGTTTTAATCTCCTGCAAATTCTAATAATTCTAATGTGCAAATTCTCCTCCGTCTTTGTTAACAAACAGTATCTAATATTTTTACAGGTTTGTGGAAAACTTCTTGAATGTAGTAACCACAGTTGTTCTGACATTTGTCATCGTGGAAAATGTCCGCCTTGTCCAAAATCTGGAAAACGCACATGCCCATGTGGAAAAACAAGTAAGGATCGTCAGCAACAATGAAACTCGCGTAATATTATATAATAATAATAATTAGTCCAGTCATGTTTCAAGACATTAATTACGAGTTTGATTGCCTCGGGCTTGGAAAGATCATATGATACCAGCAAAAAGTAAGTACATACGACGTCGACGGCAAGAGTTCGGCGCACCTGCGTGGTACTTGGCTGAAACGCCATTTATGGCACTATAAAACATGCTCGCTGATTGTTCTGCGCAATTACAATAAACGCATACACAAAAGATCGTTACAAGTTTTCTTTCATCTATAGCCGGTTGGTCGAAAACCATGCATGCAGTTAGCTTAATCCTAGGTTAACAAAAAACGTCAAAGCATCCCAACAGAATTGTTTAATATAAACATTGAAATATTTCTCCAGAAATCTTAGGAGTTTTGATTCTGAAGTCTTGAAATAAGCAGACATGCCTAGTACACAAGTTAAAACAGCACGTTGAATCTTAACCCATGCAAGGTTACCGCTAATCCAGCTTTGAACAACCTGCCCTTGGGCGAGAGATGAACAGCGGCTGCCGATTTTGATAGTGAACTCGCTAGCTAGGCATAATTAATTATAGTCTAGTACTGTATGCGTCAACGCAAAATCACTCCCACAGACTTTTGAGGACCCGTGCAGCTAATTATACAAGTCCATTTACACTGCACGGAACATTACGAAACTTGGAAAATCGTCAATCTTTTTAAGCCGTACTTATTCTCTTTCCTCCGCAGAGGATTTGGCAATAGACAATTCCCATGCATTATAGACTAATTTTAAAACTAGGCAAGGAGATGCAAATAATTCACCACAGTTAGAAAGAGCATATTTATAAAATGAGTAAAATTGCAAAGTTTGGTTGCGAATGTTGTAAAATGCGGAAAATATAGCCTTGCAAAGTTTGCAAATTTTGTACACTTTTGTATTGCGTGCGGAAATTGCTATACCATATTCGGCCCAAATGTGGTAGCAATTTCCGCACGCGATACAAAATATACAAAATTTGCGAACTGTGCAAGGCTATATTTTCCGCATTTTACAACATTTCGCAACCATACTTTGCAATTTTACTCATTTTAGTATGCTCTTCCCGGGAATATACTTTTTTTGCCAAGATAAAAAAGTTAGTAGAGAACCGCTCAAATTTTCATGCTTTAATCTTTCAGCCTTAGATCTGCCCTGTACTGAAGATGTCCCACCATGCGGGGATACCTGTGAGCTACTGTTATCGTGTGGTCATCACAACTGTACTCGGCGTTGTCATTCAGGACCATGTGAGACATGTAGACAAATGGTTAACAAGATATGTCGCTGTGGCAAGCGGGAGAAGTCAATCCAGTGTTCGCAGGAGTTCATCTGCGATATAAAATGTCCAAAGTTGAAAAATTGTCAAAGACACCAGTGCCGTAGGAAAGTAAGTGTATTGAGTTAAAGTGATATATTTAGTACATTACGATAGTGTGCAACATGAAGTAACAATTGGTCATACCTGGATTGGTAATGCATTCTTATAACTTTCTGCTCTTCAATTTTGAGTGCAGTATTACACATGAATAAGAATCAATGAAGATGAAGATCTGAGTTTAAAAATTTATTCCAAGGGGACATAATTTGGGGGAAAAGGAGGGGTGGAGGGACTTAGTGTAGCACTTTCGGATGGATAGATTGCTATTCCTGGTTCTATATGTCTCTAACACCAGGCACAAAAACGATCTTGACCTCCCGTACGTTTTTCTCTTCTGCATCAAAGTTATGGAACAGCCTGCGTGACGATATTAAAGTACCGTTTAAAGAATGCCTATTCTTTAAACTAACTTTTATTCCTAGGATATTTTTGTCTAATGATTATATAATATTTGCTAGTGTATTCAACATTGACTTGTATAATCAGTAATAATTGTAATAACATTATAGTATATACGTAGTCTGGTAGTTTTAATCAGTAAGTAGTGATAGAAGCTGAATAAATAAAGCGTCTATTCTCTCGTAAAATCTCAGTTACCTGAATAGTGGTGCAACCACAATACATTGCGACTTTAAGATGGCGTCGACATCGTTGAATAGTCTGTTTGGTTCATAACTGTATAAATCGAATTCATTGCGTATTTTAAACGATATCAATTTGATTTAACCAACGAATTCGTTTTAACAATATAGCCAGTAAAAGAAAGTTGAACAGAGCATTTTTAATATTAAATTGTGTTTTTAGTGTTGTCATGGCCAGTGTCCGCCATGTGAACAGATCTGTGGACGTCAATTAAGTTGCAAAAACCATAAGTGTCCTTCCGTTTGTCACCGAGGTAAGCACAAGATAATTTTTTTGCATATCTTTAATCGGTGCTGTTCTTTATGCATATAGTGATACAATTACATTACCTACCTAAAATTCAATAAAGCCCCAGTCATATTTAATTTTTAAAGAGGGTGTGACGAGAGTTCACGAGTTTCATCATAGACAATCCAGAAGATGTCTTCTGGATTGTCTATGGTTTCATAAACTCTCGATGACAGTTGACCATGCTGCATGGCAACCCAACTCTCATCAACTCTCATGCAACTCGTCCGTCAGAGTAAGCGCCTTTCACCTCCTTATGTTTTATTTTCACCTCCTTATGTTTTATTTTCCAAGGGTGGGTTGACTACAAAATATTTGTAGTTCGCTATAACTACAGCTACTTCAAAAATCTGTAGTCAGCTACAACTACTGCTACTTTTGAGCAAAGGTATAGTTCGCTACTGACTACAGCTACTGCTTAAAACATGTAGCGAACTATTTCGCTACTCTATATTTTTAGTTTTACTGTATTTGGAGCATCTACTAACTCAGGCTGGAATGTAACCTATAACAAATCGATTTACGAGTAACAACAGTAAACACAAAGCAACATTTTTGAAAGCACTAGGCCTACAGTGTTCAGGCGTGCAAATTGACTATTGAGTATTGATTTTAAGCAGACCGTGTCTCAATATCATGCTATTCTATCAAGTTACTAACAATTTTAAAAAGTAGCGAATAGCGATTCGTTGTTTGAAAAGTAGTCAACTTCTTGGCTACTTTTAGGCAAAATGTAGTTCGCTATAACTACAGCTACTGTTTTAAAAAAGTAGTCAAAAACTACTGGCTACTACAACTACTTCGCTACTACCCACCCTTGTTATTTTCACCTCCTTATGTTTTATTTATTTTTTGTTTTCCGCCTTATGTTTTATTGTACTTTTAAGAAAAAGTCAAAAATATTTTTCTTGTAAAATATACTTAATTGTTATCATCTGTAAACTTTGTTCAATTAGCTCATTATATTACTTTTACTTTAAAATTTTCCTTACTTTATACTTGTATTTGTAAATATTCCTATATTCTTTCGACATTATATGATTAACTTACCAAATAAAAAAAATGTAAAAATATTATAGAACTAGGGGTCTTTGAACAAAAAGCCTGAAAGGGTTTCATGAAGGCTCCTAGCCCGTCATATTGTATACTTTGAAGATTGTAAATATTAACTTTTCCATATGGGCAAATAAAATTCAATTCAACAACTGCAACCTCTGCACGAGTTCGTGGGTTCGATTCTCGCTACGGACTCGTGTGAAAAGAGTCCGTCAACGCTCTGCTGAAGCCTGAAAGTCGTGAGTTTTCTCCGGGTGCTCCAGTTTCTTCCCACAGGAAAGTTGACAGGGTGGGTTAGGATATAATTAGGTAAGCGTATAATACTTGATGTAAAGAGCATTTGATCATATCCACATGTAAATTTGCGCTATAGAAATGTTAATCGTAATCTTGTTCTGCTTTAACCGGGGTCATGCGAAGTACTGACAGTTTTACCCTAACTGAAATTTAGTTTTGTATAGGGGTGCACCGGATTTGGAATTTTCAAATCCGGCCGGAACCGGATTTACCGGATTTGGACAAAAATTCCGGCCGGAATTCCGGCCGGATTTGCCGGATTTGAGATAAACCGGTAATGGGGACAATTGGGGATAAATTGTGATAATTCAGTGTCAAAATGGCGGTTTATGTTTTTTACTATTTTTAGTTAGTGTCAGTTTAGTTTTTGATTGTGTTTAAACCTTTTTTAAATATATTTTTGTTAATAACTTAATATTTTATAATAATAGAAGTGTTTTTTAAACTTTAAAGCTGCCAAATTGATGGTTTATCCCATTCTTGGTGAATTTTTTAAGGTGAAAACAGCAATTTAAGTCCGGCCGGATTTTCTCCAAATCCGACCGGATGCCGGAAAATTCGTTATATCCGGCCGGAATTCCGGCCGGATTTGAAATCCGGTGCACCCCTAGTTTTGTAGGTACCAGAGAGTAGTTGAACGTCCTTTCTAGAACATGAAAAACTGATTATTTCTCAGTTTTATTAATCGTGTTTGGATGATTGTATCTCTTAAATCAGGCTTTCTTGCCATCCTACTTTTTCCTACTTTTCTTCAACTTTCCTACTTTTCCTATTTTTTATTAAAAATTGCTTGATTTTCCTACTTTTTCCTACTTTTTCTCATAAAATCCTACTTTTTTAAGACAGCTTGGGGAATCAGTATGTTATAGCTCTTGTAATTAGATCTATAGGACTCGTAATTTTTATTCCCTATTTGTGTCCCAAATGATAAGATCTCAGGAGGAGAAGAAGTACATTTTCCAAGTATAAGCCTTCGCCCATTTAGTACTACTAAATTGTAAATTTCGACATACTAAAACGCTGTTTTCTGACCATTAGAATTCTGTCAAATCTTCCCCAAGTCCAGTAAATGGCATTTCAGAGACTCTAACTTTAAAAATTTCCTCGGGCCTTTGGCCCTCGCTTTCAGCCCTCCCCAATCGAAAAGAGCTTCCTACGGTCCTGATATATGCTCCTGCCGTAGTGCGGATTGGTGCATTGTGTAGCCTAATACATGCATTTGAATTGTGTTGCTGCGGAGCAGATGCCTTAGCTTTTATACCGATGCAATTTAAGAGTTTTGAGAAAAAAATCCTGCATAGATGAATGAGTACATAAAAATATTAAGCACCAAAAATTCACACAACTTCCCCATCAGATATCTAATGTTTTGTATATTTTTGTGTTATTTGAATCTCCAAAACTCCTACTTTTGTCCTACTTTTCTACACATTTACCTACTTTATTCCTACTTTTCCTAAAATTTTAGTCCTACTTTTGTCCTACTTTTCTACACAAGGATGCCAGAAAGCCTGCTCTTTGGTCTGGTGTTGAATATGTGCATATTTATTTTAAGATGTGCTTTTTATACAACATTACTTTTTATACAGCATTACAAGAAGCAATAAAACAAGAAACAAGACTTAGTTTAATTCGTTTGGATAATGCAGATTCTCAGTTATCCTTTTCTATGTTTATTCTAAGGATTATGTTACCCTTGCCCGTTGACCAAAGACGTTAGCTGTAATTGTGGTTCCACCACGTTGACAGTACCATGTGGCAGGGAGCGTGTTACAAAGCCACCTAAATGTTCTCAAGTGTGCAAGTAAGTCAATCGTCTAAAGCCCGTTTTCCACTAGGTTAATCTGTTCGCGCATGCAAAGCGATCCAAAAAGCAAATTTCAACAATGTGATCGGTTAGTGCGGCAAAGTTTTTCGCCAACCAATCATATTCGTCTAGTGGAAACGGACTTAATACTAGTCCCAAGTCAGCTGATCATGGCAGAATGTATAAGTGGTAGAAGTATGTATACATGGGTTTTCATTAACCAGTGTTGATTCTGTTTATTTAGAACTCCTTCAAACTGCCATCATCTAATACGAAAGGTGCAAGTTCTCTACTTTTTGTTGTCTTAGTTTTCTTCCAGTGTTGACGAACATTGAACTAGGAATTTCCATCACGTCGGCACGTCATTGTTAAATACATTGACATAAATAAAACAAATGTCAAATATGTTTATCGCCATGCAAAACTACAGGGAATTTATATCTTCACTATATATGCCTTGTCCGTGGTCTTAGGCATGGCTTCACTCCTTCTGCATTCATTTTTCGGCCAGTCGTTTTTACACCGTCTTATTTTTCTTTCAGTCTCATCGTTGCCACTTCGGGCCATGTCCTCCGTGTAAACAAATTTGTGGATATAAATTGGCGTCATGTGATCACTCGTGTCGAATGGCATGCCACGACAACAAAACAATTTCTCGTGCTGAGGTACAGTCGGTAATGTTTTTTTTCTCAGTTTTATAGCTATTAGATTTGTCGTATAAATTATATTATCTAATAAAAAAATTGGGCGAGCATGCATGTGTATCATTTAGTAAATTACTGAAAATGAGTATCATAAGAAACTGTTACAACAAGGTATACACATAATAGGTGTGAAAATGAATTTTCTGGCGATACATGATTAAATGTTTCGTCTGAACCTATATCAATCCAATGCTGATCGTTTTTGCTTTTGTATACAAACCACTGCTGCATGGTTGGTTTTGCTTTTGTATACATGACAATGCTGGTTGATCTAACTTCTGTACAGTATACATATCAATGCTGGTTGTTTTAATTTGCTTTTGTATACATACCAATGCTGGTTGTTTTAATTCGCTTTTGTATACATACCAATGCTGGTTGTTTTAATTTGCTTTTGTATACATACCAATGCTGGTTGTTTTAATACTAGTCCCAAATCAGCTGATCATGGCACAATGTATAAGTGGTAGAAGTATGTATACATGGGTTTTCATTGGCTTTTGTATACATATCAATGCTGGTTGTTTTAATTTGCTTTTGTATACATACCAATGCTGGTTGTTTTAATTTGCTTTTGTATACATATCAATGCTGGTTGGTCTAGCTTTTGTATACATACCAATGCTGGTTGTTTTGATTTGCTTTTGTATACATATCAATGCTGGTTGTTTTGATTTGCTTTTATATACATACCAATGCTGGTTGTTTTAATTTGCTTTTGTATACATATCAATGCTGGTTGGTCTAGCTTTTGTATACATACCAATGCTGGTTGTTTTGATTTGCTTTTGTATACATATCAATGCTGGTTGTTTTGATTTGCTTTTATATACATACCAATGCTGGTTGTTTTAATTTGCTTTTGTATACATATCAATGCTGGTTGGTCTAGCTTTTGTATACATACCAATGCTGGTTGTTTTGATTTGCTTTTGTATACATATCAATGCTGGTTGTTTTGATTTGCTTTTATATACATACCAATGCTGGTTGTTTTAATTTGCTTTTGTATACATATCAATGCTGGTTGGTCTAGCTTTTGTATACATACCAATGCTGGTTGTTTTGATTTGCTTTTGTATACATATCAATGCTGGTTGTTTTGATTTGCTTTTATATACATACCAATGCTGGTTGTTTTAATTTGCTTTTGTATACATATCAATGCTGGTTGGTCTAGCTTTTGTATACATACCAATGCTGGTTGTTTTGATTTGCTTTTGTATACATATCAATGCTGGTTGTTTTAATTTGCTTTTGTATACATACCAATGCTGGTTGTTTTAATTTGCTTCTGCGTATATACAGGTGTGTATATATATATATCGATTGCTGGTTGCCAACGTTTTGCTTTTGTACAAAATGTCTCACTTGAAGTTCTCGGGAAAATAACCAATGACTGAAAGTGGCCTGTCTGACGTAATCATGATATTTTTAATTGTACACACGTAAGGGACCGGTCATTATTTATACTCAGGGTTGGGGCCGAAGAGAAATTATTTTAACTGCCAAAAATTCACCTACCCCACCCAACTTGAACCAGAAATTTGGATTACCCCACCATTTTTAACCTTAACCTTTTTAACCATTTACCCAACCTGGCAGAAATGGTGCATTTTGTTACTTTTTACATTAAACATTATTTTGCAGTCAAGACCTTTAACATCGCCATGGACAACGAACCATGAAGAAAAGCAATCAATTCCGATACGTTGTGGACCATGCAGCGTGCCTGTGATGAGGTACTTTCGAAAACCGTATGCATTTTTTCAATAAAAAACAATCTTTTGTTTGTTCTCTTCCGAATTGAAGCCATTTTTCAATGGGCATAAACCAATAAACCATTGAAATGAACTGGAACGCTAACTTCAGATAAACTGCCTATCTTTTTCTTGAAGCCAAATCTGACCTCCAAACACGCGTGTCTGGAAGTCAAGACTCGTGTTTATGCCATTTTAATGGCCCAACGAAAATGAAAAATGAAAATGAAAAACAGTAAAAGTAATAAATGTTTACGTGTAAAATAATTTTTTAATGTTTCGTTTTTACAATTTCTTTCGCTTTTACCATTTATTCATTTTACAAGATTCCGCAGGCCCTCTCGAAATCGTGACCTTCCCATGACGCAACGAGGGCCTGCGGAGGAGGCAGCTCTTCGCATGCGTGAAAAGACTCGGACTAGCCTTCAAGTTTGCCTTCAAATTTCCAGTTGGAGGTAGCGTTCCAGTTATATTCATTTTTAATGGCACAAACTTACATTTGTAATGAGTAAGAATACCGTAACAGTACATTACCACGAATTATGAGGTCGGCTGATCGTGGACAAATACCCAGAACGAGGCTGCCTTCAAAATGCATTTTGTACTGAATTTAGTGCGAAGCCAGTAATCGCAGAGTCTTTATTTATTTCTATTTCCATATCCTTTGTTGCAGGACTTGTCTGGGAGAACATGAGGTATGTCAGTTTCTCACATACACGAGCATCGCGTTGCATGATTTTGTTCGTAAACGCTTTCCACTCTTGTTGTTGCCTTCGGTTTAGTTTCGGAAAATCTACACTGCAGTAGATCTACTGAACCTAAGGAGGTTTTGTAGTTGTTGTTTTAGTTATACTATACTGTACAGTATTCATCTTACTGAAATTTCTCTGTAATATACCTTATCTGCGATTTGGTCGATTCACAGTAATTGCAAGTGCTCAATCACCATAATATTATTGACCATTTGACCGCATTAGTTAATCTATATAGCTAGTATTTGTGATTTGAAAATGGTGTCCCATATCTTTAAAGAGCCATTTTCATTATAATTGTTGTATTACTGTAATAAAAAAGTTAATCAACCTCTAGCTCTCTGATACTCACGACTTCTACAGTATATACAGGGTGTCTTATTTCTATATTCCTAGACGATATCGATGCCTTGTTTTAAAGATGGAGAATTCAGCTGTGGGCGACCTTGTGGCCGTTTACTATCTTGTGATAATCATCGTTGTCAACTGCAATGCCATACTGTCATCCAAGCGCCAGATGAAGAAAGGGTAATAATATGCTTTGTTATAGCTAGGATGAGCACCAAACGTGATTGGCTGATTTGTGGTCACGTGGCTTTAGATAGATACAATGTATCCTGCAAGGCAACAAGTGGAAAATTGTTACCCGTCCCGACCGGCTACGTACATAAATAAATAAATGCTGGCACAACTCGCAAGTTTATAAATTACGATTTTCCAAATTTGTGGTAAAATAAAGAATGTAAAAGAGAAGAAAAATACACAACGGGCAACAGGATACGCTGGTAAAACCGTCTAAGAAGGTTCTTTTAATTTTAAACTCGTTTACACTATATAGCTTTTGGTCATGAAGTACAATTGTTATATAGCTAGGGTGAACACCAAACGTGATTGGCTGATTTGTGGTCACGTGACTTAAGATAAATGCAATGTATCCCGCCGGGCAACAAGTGAAAAATTGTTGCCCGCCCCGACCGGCTACGTACATAAATAAACAAAATGGCGGCACAATTAGAAACTACGATTTTCCAAGTTTGTATTCAAATAAAGAATGTAAAAGAGAAGAAAAATACACAACAGGCAACAGGATATGCTGCAGAAACCGTTTAAGTAGGTTCTTTTAATTTTAAAATCGTTAACACTATAGAGTTTTTGTCACGAAATACAATTGTTGTATGAATGTTGTTGAATGTTGATTTTTGTTCGTCGTTATATAACAAAACGCTTAATAATGTCTGTTCCCTCGGGAAATAGTTAGTTTTGTTTTCCCTCGAATCTCAATGTTTCCCGAGACGAAGAGACTCTCGGGAAAACAATACAAACTTTGTTGTATGAATGTTGTTGAATGTCGATTTTTCTTTCGTCGCTAGCTATATAACAAAATACTTAATGTTTGTTCCATCGGGAAATAGTTTAGTTTCCCTCGGGAAACATCGAGACTCTGAGAAAAACAAAACTATTTCCCTCGGTAGCAGACATTAAGTGTATAATACTAACTTTTTATTGCTGCCAGTATTATACCTCAAATTGTTAAATGAGAAAGCTAGGTTTCTACCTCGTGAGCATGACTTTAGAATTCTAAAATGATGATAATACAGTACAGTAATTACTCTTTCTTAGTACCAAAACTAAAAAAGCTGACTCGTACCCAGTCCCTGAATGAGGATTGAAAAATCATGGTGCATGATGGGAATGACCAAGGCCCAAAATTTCCTCACGCTCCTCAGTCCATTGATCTATATATGTACTGACTCGTAATGTATAATTTATAACTTGGACGACTGAGTACGAGCATGGATAATAAAATAAATGGATAGGAAACTAGCTGACGTGACCTAATGTTTTTACTGGGATTGATGGCGTGGTTGGATCCCTCAACCTAGTTGAAAATCAAATTCTCAAAAACGGCATGTTTAGCAATAATACAGCTAAACATTTTAGTCAAAGAGCAAATAAATGTAACCACGCCATTCTACGATGAAAACCCTAAGTATTCCCGGTCAATTTTAGCAAATATTTCAAGCACTAAACAGTGAAAAATACATCGCAAATTTCGTTAAAATTTGTGACGCCAATTTCGTAGCTACAAATGTAAAAAAATACAAAACAAAGACGAAAAACATTTACCTTGAATACTTTGTCGTGGCTTAGGCATGTTTTTAAAACAATTAGACCAGTTTACGCTTCAAGATCACCCTTTTAAAGTGGAAAATATAGCAAAACGACAAAAATGCTGAGAACTTTGGTAACATTCGCAATACGCGTGACGTCACGTTTTTCAACAAGGATGCAGTCAATGACGTCAGAAGTTTCCAATCCATTTATTTTATTATCCATGGTACGAGTTATATCATTTTTTTTGTGCGACGAAGCAAAGAGTACAACTATGAAAATTCTAACAATTTTTCAACTTTAGTGCGTAAATGAAGGATATTTTGTACTTTCACTTTAAATGTATGTTTCATAATTTCACCTAGAGTGGTTTAGATTGCGAACAATGTGAAAAACCCTGCATCAAACCAATACAATCTGGCTGTACACATGAGTGTTTGCGACGATGTCACCCAGGTAATATCAATATTGTGTAAGATAAAAACAATAACAAAACCCCACGATACCATGGTGTGCGACACTAATCCTTTAAGTCTTGGCATTCCGTGCTAAAGCTCCCTACTTTGTTATTTTGTTCTGTGCAACGGCAGAAGGTTTTACTCTGTTTGACGCCAGATTTCCGTGTGCGTACGCACCTATGAAAAATACTTAAATAAAGCCTTCAGTCATGAATGCAACGAATGCAATATTTATATTCAGCTCCCGTGAGATACGTCAGCCAGTTTGGATAGATATCATGTTTTCAAACTCTTACCAAAAATGCGCGAAAAAAAGAAGAATCCTTATATTAAAACGAATTACTAAGGTGCGATAATTGAAGACGTTTGGTTGTACCTCGCTATGATTTTTCCGCGTATACTTGAGCCTTATAACTTGACTCAAGGATTAAGCACATAAAGTAGAAGTTTCTGAATGGTATTCATTTAGTGACCTTCTTAATCCCATCTCATGTCGTCAGTCCAATCCAGTGAACTCCTTATATATCTGGAGCGAGAACTCGAGTCCAAAAAATTGAAGCCAAAGATGGCGGAAATTGAAGAGCTATTGGAGGTTAAGACTAATATATTATGATTTTATGAACTGAAAACTTGATTAGCGCTACAATTCGTTAGAAAATATTGGAATTAGCCGGGGGCTAGCTAATTAAGCTAATGAACGTGAATATGTTCTAAATGTTTTAGGGGGAAACAATTACCCAAAGCGTTTTCTTAATGATTGCTTGAGACCACCTGTTTGTAGGAACCAAACTAACTCCGAGGGTGATACCTCTGTTAAGGGTTTTGCAATAGTTCCATACATTCAAGGTGTCACAGAACCAATCAAGAGAATCTTAAGTAATTATAATAATTATTAAGGTTGCCTTAAAACCCTATTTGACTTTAGGCCATATTTTCGCAAAGCCAAAAGATCCTGTTGAAAAAAATCAGAAGACTCATGCTATATATTCTATACCATGCGGTGACTGCGACAAAGAGTATTTGGGTCAGTCTAAGCGCCAGTTTGGTACATGGCTAAAAGAACATCAAAAGGCTGTTTCAACTTTAGACAAGGGAAAATCAGCTTTAGCCGAACATGTATGTTACACCAAACACGAGATTGCGTGGGAAAACTCTAAAGTAATTACCACAAACAATCGCTATGGTCAAAGACTTTGCCTAGAAGCGTGGCATATAAATATGAGTCATCATGCTTTGAATAGGGATGACGACGCCTATTTGCCAGAGGAATATATGCATCTTCTTGGCAGGTGACGTCATCTCTTGGGTATTTAAGAAGCCACGATCGCAGTTTTAGATCACCCCTGATGAAGACACTAGACTGGAGTGTCGAAACGTTGGGCCTTGATTACAATTCGACTGGGCTTTGTAATCATTTATTTAAACCAGAGTAGCGAGCAAAACATGATTGATATATACCTGGTTGCAGTGAACGAACAAACTTTATATAAAAACTGTTTACGACCTTCATAGCCATTAGCCATTTCCCAATCGAGCAGAGGACTCAGGGATGCCGGAACCACGGGTGCAGCGGGTGCAAGTGCACCCCTTGTCTTTTTTGCATTTTCAACTTTGTGGGTGCAGTGCGGGTGCAGACTATAGGTGTAACGGGTGCACAAAACTTTTACAACAGACAGAATTAAACGTCGTTCGAGGATGTGTGTGGGGGTGTTCCACCCCCCAGTCGTCAGGAATTCGGCAAAATTGTTATCCATTTGGCGAAAGGTGAAATCAGGAAAGCATTACTTATGGAATTTTTGGCGAGAAATTACGGAGGAATTGTGCCTAAATAATTGTATTCGGTCCGAAAACATTTGGTGACGGGGAGGGAGGTTGACACGAATGTAGGATCATGACACCCTTTCATTTTCATTGGTGCCTTTTATTAAGGAGTATGCCCTCTTGTTAACCAATTGCACCCCTTGCCCTCAGCAACTTCCGGCATCCCTGAGAGGACTGGGTGTAGTTGATGTTTGGAGGCAGCCTAGACCTAGGCCTTTACTCGGCTGGTAATTATCGCAATGGTCATTTGCCTCGTAAAGGCCCAGCCCTAGACCTTAGGGCCTTCTAGTCTTATTTATATTTTTTAATTTTCAGCGCTTTTTCACATGAAAAGACTGGGACTAGGTGATTTGGGGCGGGGCGGAGGAAGCAAGCCTAGAAGGCCTAGTGGATTTCCCAACAACAAGGCCAAAACTGCCCTGAAACTGCACTGAAACTGCACTGAAACTGCACTGAAACTGCCCTGGTTGCGAAATGCCCAATTGTTGCGTTCTCAAACAGAATTATTTGCAACTTAACGGCGAATTTAAACCGATACAGGTAAAATAAACTCATTTATAGTATAAACTTACTATTTTTATTTGTATACACGTCTAGAAAATCGGGTTTTTTATCATAAAAGTTCGAAGCAACACTATTATTTAATATTTTGACAAGGTGTAGCGAAAGCACAAAATGAGTCAAAATATATACCAAAAGTAGAATCTTTCATGAAATTTTGTCTTGTACACAACTACATTATTATATATTTTCTCAATTTTGGCAAGAAGCAGTCTTGTGTTTGTAAAATATACAAACACATATACAATTATAATGTATTAAGTAAAACGGATACATATATTATTAGCCCGTACAGTACTGTATATAAAAACGTACATTGTTTACAAATGGTATATCCGTAATATTTGAACAATAATTTCAAAATCCTCATTCGCAAATATAGTTATTCAAAGCAAAACAGTAGATTGTCTTGCGAATAAAAGAATTATTATTTTGTGCTTTCGCTTCACCTGTCAACATAATAATCTAATAGTGTTGCTTCAAACTTTATAATAAAAAACCCGATTTTCTAGACGTGTATACAACTAAAAATAGTAAGTTTATACTATAAATGAGTTTATTTTACCTGTATCGGTTTAAATTCGCTGTTAAGTTGCAAATAATTTGACATTTCGCAACATTATAATAATAACTTTATGATAAAACCCCGATTTTCTAGACGTGTATACAAATAAAAATAGTAAGTTTATACTATAAACGAGTTTATTTTACTTGTATCGGTTTAAATTCGCCGTTAAGTTGCAAATAATTCTGTTTGAGAGCGCAATAATTGGGCATTTCGCAACCAAGGCAGTTTCAGGGCAGTTTTGACCTTGTTGTTGGGAAATCCACACTTATCCACTAGGCCCACAGGGGGCAGAAAAGTACGATTGTGTTTATTTAAAATACCTTGTCATCAACCAATATATCGCATAGTTTCATCCAGGTTTCATCACGATGAAAATTATGTTGATTTTCGATAATATCATGCCTACTACTTCATGTAATTCAAACATTGTATTACAAGGACTGACCATAGTAGCGTGGGCTCATACTAGAACGATTGACTTTGCTTACACGTACAAATAATAGAAAGGGATGAAACCCCCGATCGTGAAATATTTCGAATGGATATAACTGGCGTGTTTCTGAACCAAAACCTTTTATTTTTTGTATACAGTTTAGATATGATACACTTAGCAGACGTGTACAAGGAAATTTTAAGAAACGGTTATTAAACCGAAATTTTTGGGACTACAATTTTGGCTTAATTTGTTTCAACGTGCACCGCAACAGGTGGTGACGGAAGTGACGTAGTTACGCACTTAAAAGATATTGCGCATGACGAAAACTATTTTTCCAACTGATTCATATTATTAATCATATATATTAAATATATGACAAGCTCATACAGTATTTTTATGATTTATAGTATGCAGCTTCAAAATAACAATATGCTCGTATAAATTGTCACTCTTTGAATTGTCACTGAATTGAATTCCCCTTGAAGACCTTGAATTGAATTGTCACTTATTGAAAGAATTGTCACTTATTTGATAATTCATACAAAGCCTACAAAATACAAGCCAAAATGCACCGGTATTTATACTACAAAAAGGTCTATATTAACCGAATTAACGAAACCGTTTCAGAGTTTATTTAAATTTACTGCCATTTTTTTCGCCTCATAAGTGCATGTATAGTTTATTTTTGAATTTAAATAGTCTATTGATATCTTAAGTCTGCACACACGGCGAAGACGAGCTTAAATCGTGACCGGGTTTTGTAGACTGCCGTTTGGATTTATACAGTCATGTTAAACAAAGTTCAAAGTCGTGGATATAATTACGTACAGTTGATCGATTCAAATTATTGAAAAGCTTTATACCGTCTAGATACAAGAGCGTTTGTTGCTTTTGAATCGGGTGATTCGCATTTCTTTTAGTTGACATTTGACAAAACGTTCCATATTAATATTTGACTAATTTGAGTTTGAATTTCGCAATATTTTTTAAAATTTGTTATTGTCATTCAAATTATTAACCGTTAAATTCGATCAAAAGGTCATGGAAGATGATAGGTCAATTTTCCTTCAACTTCCGTTCTACTTCCGGTTACAATGTCGAATTTACTTCCGTCACCAGTTGTTGCGGTGCACATTGAACGAAAGATTTTCGGCGTTTCATCCCTTTCTTATTTATGTACGGGTTACACCCTCGGCATCCTTTCGTAAGATGTTCGGAAATTGTCGTTGCAATGCAATATGTTTGAATTACATGAAGTAGAAGGCATGATATTATCGAAAAAATAAAAATCCAGCTAATTATGATCCAGTTGATCCTTTTATGACTATGTCTGCGGATTGTTGTAATATAAATATGGGATATTGGTTGATGACAAGGTATTTATAAAACACAATCGTACTTTTCTGCCCCCTGTGCTAGGCCTTCTATTTTTTCGCTTGCACATCCTCCGCCCCGCCCCCAAATCACCTAGTCCCAGTCTTTTCATGTGAAAAAGCGCTGAATATTAAAAAAATAATAAAAATAGAAGGCCTAGGGACGTTTGGAGCGACAACAAGTTACAGTGAGCGAGCTAAATATATATTAAAAGATGCCTTATTATAATTGTTGCGTTTCAGGCTGCACAAATAACTTTAGGAATGTAGGAAAACTCCTCTGCTCGATTGGGAAACTTCACTGTTTACGACCTTCATAGCTATTGGACTTCTTGGCTTCACTTTTCTCATAGGCCCAATGACTGACGTTCTTGCTCCAGACATATATATAGAGTTCACTGGTCCAATCATATTTCATGCCAAGACATGTCAGATATATAGCTAGCGCATGCTTAAAAGTACAGTTTTGAAAACCTTGAAAAATTTGCTGGTCATAATATGTTACCAGTAAAAAGTGAGTATAGATAGTGAGAATACCGTTTGAACAGCATACTCAACTTATGACGCAAATATTTGTATTTCACGTATAGGCGAATGTGGTGATTGTAGACAAATGGTTAAACGGCAATGTCATTGCTCCTCCATGTCCGTGTATGTCAAATGTTGGTATGTTTAGATTCATTTCTGAAATATTGCGAAGTTAATAACGACAGGCTATAGTTCTGGATATTTGACAGTTTATTCTGCGAACTCAATGAGCTGATACGCACCTCGTCTTGCTACCAGCCATTTACGACCAGAGTGAGTAGGCCATCAGTTTTAGAGAAATTCGAGTTAAAAAGCCTGTACCATTCAATAGACCATTCCCATTATAGACTATTTTTAAAACTAAGCAAGGAGATGCAAATAAATCACCACAGCTAGAAAGAGCATATTAAAATGAGTAAAATTGCAAAGTTTGGTTGGAAATGTTGTAAAATGCGGAAAATATAGCCCTTGCAAAGTTTGCAAATTTTGTATACTTTTGTATTGCGTGCGGAAATTGCTACCATTTTTGGCCCAAATGTGGCAGCAATTTCCGCACGCAATACAAAAGTATACAAATTTTGCGAACTTTGCAAGGCTATAGTTTCCGCATTTTACAACATTTCGCAACCAAACTTTGCAATTTTCCCCACCCGCTCCCCAACTCAATGTTGAGTATATGTCATGGTAAATGTTGTTTCGAAGTTGTGCACAACATTGAACTGGAAGGAGAGAATCAAATTTGACTTGTCGATATATTTTAACTGATAGATACTTTGTGCAATATGGTCCCAACCATTTTGTTCAGGATTGCATATCATATACGTATTTATTTAAAAATGTTCACATTATTGATGAGTTCATCTGCATTCCATTTGACCAGTGAACTTACCTCGTCCGACGATTCTTCAACGAAATTGCTGCTCTCATGTAAAGGTAATTGTCCTAAGATGCTGAAATGCGGTCACCAGTGCTCGCTGCATTGTCATTTTGGACCATGTATTGATGCCAAAGACTGTTCTAGGAAGATCGTGGTGAGATGTCCTTGCAAAAGATTAAAGAAAGTAAGTCTAACGAAGTGTTGAATATCTGCGTAGACATTTTTATTATATACTCGTGCTGTTGTTCCAGAATCCTTTACCGGCTGATAGCTTCAGCAAATCGGGGTTTTCAGTTTAGGCCGGCGAACGGCGAATTTCGCCAGACTTTTTCATTCAGCCCCACCCAAATTCGCCAGAGCTTTTACATAAATATATAATCCATGTGCACGAATTGATTGTGAAACTTAACTCAGGTCCAGTCTACATAGTCTAGGCTTTTCCCTTTCGCCATAGCTTCATTGCCATTAGCCAGAGCCTCACACAAAACTGAAAACTCTGGCAAATATATAAAACTAATGTTATTCCGAAAAAAGCATGATTTTAACAATACATTTATTTTAGAAACTGTATATTTCGAATCTTATATTTTGATTCATCCTGTACACCTGCAACATTATACTGGAATAATGTTCTTTATAAATCCTAGCATGTGTGTCAGGCTCTATGCTTGAAATAAAGCCTGCTACTGAAGTTAATAAAAAGTGGATTTATGCGTACGAATCGTATGCAAAATTTCCATTGGTCAGAAATAAATAGCCTTGCCTTTTAAAGTGATATCAAGTTGTTGTTTACGTAACATGATATTCCGTACTTGTAATTGTACTTTTGGCCGCATTAATTACTGCCTTTGCTGTCTATGAACACAGTCAATAACCGTTATTACTATTTAGTATGTAATTCCTGGGCGTTTAATGAAAACTTGGAATATTTCTTTTCGAGATATTGGCGGGAAAATTGGCCGTTACAGTATTGTCATATTTTAAATTAGCTTTGATAATCTAATTAATAATCGCCGTTTTGATTGGTTAGGCTATAAGTCCAATTGTTATATAGCTAGTGTGAACACCAAACGTGATTGGATGATTTGTGGTCACGTGACTTCAGATAAATGCAATGTATCCCGCCGGGCAACAAAAGTGAAAAATTGTTGAGAAAACTATAGAGCTAGCCTGCGAACAGGCTCTCAAGCTGAATTGAGAGCCTGCATCGATGACTAATGAATTTGAATATATGCGTCTCAAATCGTGACACGAAATTCTCATTGGTCAGATGCTATAATTTATATGTTTCCGCTGAGCTCTATATATGTCAACTGCTGAAGCACTATGCATAAAAAAAAACACATTAACTGATCATATTGGTCTTGGCCGTCTTATCTCAAAGCACGAAATGTTCTGTTTTGAGAAAACAGTATTTAAAACATTTGAACTTTTGCTTGAATATCTTATATTTCGAAAAATAGTGTAAACTGTACGGTCTAAATTTAGTTTGCACGGTCTAAATTTAGTTTGCAGGAAAGTTGTAAACAACACCATATAAGGATAGACATTCCATATTTGGAAAAACGAACGTTACGGGGCAGATATTCAAATTCATTAATCATCGATGCAGGCTCTCAATTCAGCTTGAGAGCCTGTTCGCAGGCTACTATAGAGCTAGAGCCGCCACAAACTAGATGTGTTGTTAAAATGTGTTGTTAAAATGTATACTTTTTCGTATAAATGTATACATTAGTTTTATAGTGTTGTTGATTGCTCAGCTTCGGTTATCATTGCATTATTCACCTCCGGACCGAACCCCGTTTTGTTCCGGTTATACAGGCGAGCAAATTTTTTACTATTCACCACCATTTTACGGGCATTAGTCGAAATTGATCAAGAGTAAAAACCAAGTCGCCGTGACAAACCACTGGTTAAATATTTTTAACAATACGTTTAGTCAAACAAAATGTTCAAATTGAGATTTTAATTTCCCTCGCTGCATGGTATCGATCAAAATATAACTAGACTACTAGATAAAAGTATAAAGTTTATATATAACGATCAGTAACATTTTATCAAGAGTGACTCCGCTATGATTTTTATTATATTTAATCTGGCCTCCTGGGTAAATGTTTAAACCCATGCATTAAATTTGCAAGTAAGATACCGCGACATTTCCAGCGATGTCCTTCCTTCTGGTCGGCTAGTAGGTCAATGTTATCTCGATAATTTTTGGGTATTGTGATTATTTCTATGTACAGGACTACCCATGTTCTGAAGCCCAAGGTATTTCACTTGAGTGCAATGAAGAGTGCAGAAAAATTGTGATGAAAACAGAAAAAGAACGAAAAGAACAGGAACGTATACAGCAAGAAGAAGAAATGAAATTACACAAGGTTTGTACACTAACATGTAATTATAACATCTAGCTTTCATATATAGATATATAACTCATGTTAGATTTAATAATATAAAACATTTTCCGTGTTGATATATAGTCGCTCTCCTCCGCAGAGCCTTACGAATTTTTAGTAAAATTACGTAATATTACTTGGGAAACAAATTACGTAATTGTTAGTCAAAACGCGCTGGGTATGACGGGAAGACGGAAGATATATAGTTATATCAACACAAGTGGAAATTGGGAAAACGAGAAATTGTGTGGAAACACGGAGGGCGGATATATGGCACGAAGAAATATAAAGAAAGAACCGACCGTTTTAAATGGCTTAAAAAACGACCCATCTAGAGAGTTCATTGGCGAAGTAATTTTAAAAATAAACGTTGTCTAAGCCGAGAAAGTCAAAGCTAAAGTTTATGTAAATGAACATGATTTTTTATCACATGTAAAACCACCGACACGGCAGTGATTTCCATCGTCTTTTCTTCGTGAATTATTAATGTTTTTTTTTAAATTTATTTACTTTTACACTCTAAAACACCTGGGATAAAATTTTCTGGTTAAACGAAAATAACATGCACTAATAGGTGAAGTTAACTTTCCTTGTTACAGTTCCTAGTTATTAATCTTTTAATAATACTAAGTCTAAGAGCAGTCCAATTATTTTTGAAATTGCACTGAAGTGCAATTACAGTCGTGCCAATAGAAGCTTTCCGAAAAATGTTGATCAATTCATTTCCTAACTTCGAGGAGTTCCTCTGAACAATTCCTCAACAATTTGATAAGTTCCTTAATTAAAAAGTTACTAACTTCCTGTTTCATTGACCAATCAGATTTTATATTTTATTTTTGAGCAATCTGATTGGTCAATGAAACAGGAAGTTAGGAACTTTTTAAGGAACTTATCAAATTGTTGAGGAATTGTTCAGAGGAACTCATCGAAGTTAAGCCTGGCGCACACGATGCGATTTTAGTCCGCCGATAAAAATCGTTTGACGAAAACTAACAAAATCGTTGTGTGCGGTGTCATTTTTAACCGATTTTTGTTGCTCGATTTTAATCGGACAACATCAAAACGTTTTGATATTATACGATTTTTATCGGTGGAATTTTAAGTATAACCAATCAGACTTCATGCTGTGATCACGTGCTTGTATTTAATATTTATTTGGCAACATGGCGGCTACAGTTCAGGGAGCATATTTTTTTCGTAATCGTGTGCGGAGTATACCGATGTATATCGGTATGTCAAACGATTTTTATCGGCGGACTAAAATCGCATCGTGTGCGCCAGGTTTTAGGAAATGAATTTGATCAACATTTTTCGGAACGCTTCTATTGGCACGACTGTAACATATTACACTCCAAACCATGCTATTCCCTTGCCAGGAATTACTGTTACCTTGCCTGGAATTTGGGTTAATTTAACCAAGATCAATAACTTTCTGGATGATATACCCAAGAATTTAACCTTGATCGGTTTGTGCCAGTGTACGTTTAGTGCCGATAACAAGAATGCTTTGGATAGATAGGGATGCAACTCAGGGTCTTAGCTAGAGGGCCGTGTTATTGCGGCCAAAAGTGAAAAAACACGGCTAGATAAAATGAACGCGGCTTCATTATTTATATAAGGCCGTATGTGTATGTTCATAAAATAAGGTGGTGCTACAGTACTTACAACAGACAGAATTTCTTCCAATTTACGTCGTAAGAAAGTTTGTAAAATCTACTGTTATTGTTATTGAAATGGGAACTGTATGATGTTAAAATGTTTAAATACCCCCAAGAGTTGCTGAAATAACTTAATATTCTAATGTCACTGCGCTATATGAGCGTATGCTCACCTTGTATTTGGTTGCAAAGCATAGAACAACCACAGGCGTTGTCTGGTGTAACTAGAACCGTGAATTTGACTATTCAATTGACATGTGCACACCCTGGTCATTAGAAACACGCCCAAGATCTAAAATCCTAGCTAAGACCCTGATGCAACTACCTGAAAAATACGAGGAAAACGTTTCGAGCGAAGGATGTATGTATGTAATTCCTTCGAAGGGCCCGACGAAGGGCCTTCGCTCGAAACGTCGAAGTTCTCCTTGTATTTTTCAGGTAGTTGCATCCGTGCCAATCCGAAGTTCGGTCAGTTATTATGAACAGTGACAAACAAGGCCACGTTCCATCTTTGTATAGGAAGAAGTTGAGAAGTACGAGAGAAAAAAGCAAGGTCGTAAACGACGTCCTCGTAAGCAACAGGAGGATGTTGAAGAGCCAAGCTGGTTTTCAGTTCACCGAAATGTTATCATTGCCACTGTGGTTGTTGTTGCAATACTAGCTGTTGTAATTCATATTGCTCTTGCCGAGTAGTAGTTCGCTTGGCTACACCTGCAACTTATATACTGGAATAATGCTCAACTATTGACCGATTCGGTTACTATAGAGCCGCTACAATTTTTTCATTATTTTATATTTATATGCATTACCAGGCTAATAGACAATTTTTAGCAGAGTCTGCTATTTAAGGCAAAGTGTAAGTCGTTTAGGATTGAAAATACAAGCGAAAATATAACTCTTTGAAATGTGTAAAAAGCACCAAAACGAGGCTGGTCAGTCTGCTTGGCTAAATCTAGCAGAAACTCCGGTGTTTTTAAGATTTAATTTCTCAACGAGAATATATGGTGTTATATTTATATTTTGTAAAACTGATAGTTTTGAAATATCCTATAATTAGTGCCTAATTGGCAATTCCAGCTTTTAGTTTATGCCTGCAGGGGATGATGGGAAGTAAAGTATCATATTACTGCTTATGCTGAAAAATTTCAAAAAAAACTACCGAAACAACCGAAATATTTCAATATTTACAAGTATAAGTTATCACTCCGTGTTTACACGGCCACCATTTCAATTTTTTCAGCATAATCAGCAATGTGATACCTTACTTCCCATCGTCCCCTGCACGCATAAACTAAAAGCTGGAATTGCCTATTACCTTGGTTGAAATTCAATTAATCTCGGGAGAAAAAAGAATGACAAATATTTTTTCGAATCGGTATATTAGTCTGCTACGTTTAGCCTGCAACTCAATAAGAATCAAATATTTGAAATGACGTAAGTGAACACTGTTACAGTATTTTACTAGGAGATATACGTCTAGTAACATAAATAATAAACGAGTAAAGCAAGAAATCCAAAAAGTGCATGTGTTGAAAAACGAGACGCTCTTAATTAAACATGTCATAATGCGGTAATTTCAAGGTCATCTTTGCATCGTAGTACCTGCGTTCAAATGCAGGAAATTATATTTGCGCACTTATATGAGGCTATAGGCAAGTCCCAGTATTCTATTGAAATTGAATTACGGTTGCACCCAGTATTCTATTGAAATTTCCGCTTTTGCAGTGATTGGAACTGACTTCTGTTAACTGGCGAAGTGAATTTTTCATTTTAGCGCATGCATTAAGTCATTTTAATTTACCGCGAAATGTTTCGCATTTCATCGTGAAAAAGCGCTCGTGGAATCAGGCCAAAATAATTCCAAATTTTCTCTTTTGTAAAGTTCAACAAAAAGTAAAAATTCGCCTTTGCAGTATTGTTGTTATTTGACTTTCAAGACCCCATTATCACCGCAGCGTTTCTCCTCTCCCCATATTCCCAGCTTTATAAACAATTCATTATCAGTCGCGTTATCCTATTAATGTTATTCTATTAATATCAATCATATACTCCCCAAAGAAATTTAAGATTTCACAGCCAGAAGAAATTACAGGTGGCGGAAGAAAACACGCCAATTTATTAATTTGCATACAATATTGAGAAAAACCTAGATAATTACAATACGCTAGTATTGTATAAATTTGAAAATCTATTAACAATGAATTTAATATTATAGCTAAACGTTGTCGTTTAAAAAAAGCAAGTAAATTTTAAGGTTCAAGGAATGAGAAACAAAGGAAATTCCTTTATTGGAAAATGTTTGCTTAGTTATATCACAATTATTCATCAGCTGCAGACGTTGCTTCTTCGGCCTTTCCATCACCCCCATTCGCTTCACTTCCATCACTCTTCTTCGCCTCTTCCTTGGTTTCCTCGCTCTTTTCCTCATCTTTCGGCTTATCGCCGCGCGGAAATGCTTTCAGTAGCACAGTCAATGCGTCCACCACTGCTTCAAACTTCTTAGATCTTTCTTCACCTTCGGAGTTCTCCAAGACTGTTTTATCGAAGTTGCCGTCTTCTCCACGTTGAACGTTCAGTTTGAATTTACATTCTTCGGATTTGAAAGCTAGAGCGCCTTCGCCTTGTTCCTCAGTAACTTTTACTCCTAATTCTTTGAAAAGTGCCCTGAAAACATTTTCGGCCGTTTCTCCTTTGGACATTTTGGCAAATGTTTAAAGTAAGTTGCAGATGCTCTGTAGAGATCTTACTTCGATAACAAGCTTGGTATCACTGCAAGAAGCGACGCTGCGTACCCATAAGGTTTAATCAAATTAAGATGTTTATTCATCCCAAGTTAAAACATCTTAACCGCAGTGTGTATGGCCTATCTGAATATGGTCTATAGTATATCCAAGTTCCTTGTACTGTACCCACCAAAAGTTCTATATTTGTATGGATGGACCACAATCATGACATGTACAAAGAATTTTAATGTACAATCCATTCAAACCTAATGGGTTCGATGTTAGCTTCATGTTTCTCCGTTATTAATAGTTTCATTTAATATATGCAGTGGCACCTGTTGCATTCTTGTTTAAGTGTTTAGGCTTCGACTAATTTAAATCATTGGTTTGACCGACGACGCGACCTGCAGCAGCACATGTTTCTGCGTGGGATTGAAAGAGATGAGAGATGTCTTTCCCTGTCCAACAATTGTGAAACAAATGAAAATGCTCGACAGTGGATTTAAAAAAAAACTAAACCATTATTGCTGTTTCTTTACATACAAATCTAATTATGCATTAACCTTATATAAGAAAGTACACAAAGCATACGTAATAGTTGTTTGCATTGATAAGCAATTTGTGCAGTGATAAGATGAAAATATGCAGTGATAAATTAACAGTAAAAATGTGCAGTGATAATTGTCGCCACGCTTAACGTCGTAGGAACATTGGATTTACTCACGGAGTATAGTGCAACTATTTCGGGATGGGGTGGAATATTGAAACACGCGGGGTTCTAAATATGACTAGTGATAAGAATAGTGTTTGAATAAAACAGTTAGGTAAGAATATATTAAATGATGAAGTCAAAATATTCCGCTTCCACCCACGAAAATATGAACTAATGTTGGAAAAAGACTGTCCACAAACTTCGCCAAAATTGGATCATAGCGCACACAATTTCCATTTAAGGTTTCCCGGTCTAAGTTTACAGCGTCTGTGGTTTCTTGAATTAATTATTAATTCCGCGTTGTTTGAGTGCCCTAACCAACGCAGACAATTAAAACAGTGTGAAAAGCAATTTTTCAAAATAAACTAACCATTTACAAAGCAAATTTACCATCATTCGCTAAAAAAATTATAAAATGTCGCTGTTAGGTGGACTTATCTCGCAGACTTCGGCTGAAAGGCCACGCAAAAATGGCGGCGTGAGAAAGGCTAATTGTCGAACTTCAATTCTAAAATTACCTTCAATCATTATAATTAACAATTAGATTACAAGCTCGAGATTTCTATGAGGTGATAGTTGATAAGGAGGAAACCCGAATCAACTATCACCTCATAAAAATCGAGAGTGAGTAATCTAATTGTTTTAGTAAACAATCAACTTCGTCCTCCGAAACCTCAGAAAAACGCGAGCTGGAAGCCATTTTTTTTTAAATGTGCCAGGAAAATGATTGTTTTACTACTCGCTATTTATCGAGGAATAGATAGCGAGTAGAGTAGCCAATCAAATTACAGCATTTGCAATACGGTATACTAGTATTATTCTACTAATTGCAATAATAACATCTCTAAATCGTAGGCATAAAAAATGCCGTAATGTCTAAATCGATAATTGACATCGAGTTGAGACCTCCTTTCCTCGGCGGTATACTTGCTCCCAGTCTCTGCCTCTCAAAGGGCTTTTTATTTGAATATTTTAAAAGGGTGCGCGAAAATACGGGGGGGGGATGTTTTTCGTTCACCCTTTATAAGACCGGGAGATAAAAGACACGTGAGAGTCTTAACTCGAAAAGGGCTTAACTCGAAAATTACCTATGCCCAAAAGCTTTTGCGAATTTGAGGGCTTTGAGCGAACAATGCCGAGGCGTGGTGTTAAATAACGTCCAATAATTTAAAAACGTTGGAGGCGAAACCAGGATTCATAGTGCATTGTGTAAACGTTCTCTGGTTTTAGCTTCTCTCATAAAGAGGCGTTACAGCATACAACAGTTTTTGACAGATGTGACGATCAGTTTTTGACTGATGTGATTCAGCCGGAAAACGCGGACTAAAGGCTCTTTTCCACTGTGGAAAAGAGCCTTTACTGCTTTAGTCCGCGTTTTCCGGCTGATTCCACTTATCGCAAAACCGACTCACCAGCCCGCTGCGAGTACTTGCATCTAATTAAAATAAACTGTCGAGCATTGTAATTGGATGTAAGTACTGGCAGCGAGCTCGCAAGTTGGTACTTGCGATGAGTGGAAAATGTCAACTGGTCATAACTATTTTCTCTTCAGATACAAGCGAATTAATGTTACAGTATTCTGCCGCATACGACAGCTTTTAGCTGAGCTAGGCGACGTCTGTCTCTTTCTTAAATTCTGTTGAGCGTATCATAAATACCGGGATGGTCTGGCCATAATTCAGCCAAATTTTCTTCTGCTATCATTTTGTTCAATACAATTCTTCTTCCCGCTATTTCATGCGCAAGATGGCGCATCACGTGGGAAGTATATGCGCCACAACATCCGCACAGGATGCGATTCGTGCCTCGCGTGAATAAAATAAAACATGATAGTCAGAATTTTCCTTGCGTGTCAGGTTCCACAGCAAAAACCGTGCGCACGCGAGATCCTTTAGCTATAATAGTCTAGGACCTGTATAGGAGTTTGTATGCGTTTCATTTAGCACAGGTAATCTCAACTGTTTTAGGGTAAAATGATCAAGGCGGTCAACATGGCATATGTGCCAAAACCTGAATCCGGGACGAAAGTCCTGAAAATGACCCCGCCCTGAAACGGCAGTGCCGACATTGCTCTAACTTCCGAAAAGCAAAAGCGATAGCCTTTCTCACGTTCTCATAGTGTTTAGAAGGGTTGCTTTTATAGGGGTGGTTATTGGAAGGAAAAATTTGTCTAAGTATAATATTTTACAAGAAAATGACCATGCACCACCCCAGGAAAACTGCTAATTATGCATAAAATAACTAATATACCTGGCAGAAATTAAATTTTCTTATTTCTTAAAAAAATTATCATGGAATGAAGAAAAACTATGCTTAATTTAATATAATTATTTTAGATTTCATAAGGATTGTCATTGTTTTCTTTAAATATAACACAATTTATTTCACTTACCCCCTCAATTTCAGCCATATTTTGCCGTCTTGTTTGCTTTTTATCGCCGAGTCTCGCAAATATCATCCAGTTGTTGTACTTTTACATAATGATAAATGGCTAAAGAAGATTCAACCAAGTTTCGTCAAGTTTTGAAGCAGTGCATTTTATCCTTCGATATTTCATCAAATTGCCGCCAAAGCGCCAATGCAATGCCTCGCCGCTTCTCTGCCCGATAAATGCCACTTATTCGTCTTCATATGTATTTTTAGATTACATGCAGTATCCAAGAGTACTTCATTGTAGAATAGTCCCAATCGAATAATTGGAAAAGTGAAATAAAATGTATTATATTTAAAGAAAACAATGACAATTGACAATCCTTATGAAATCTACAAAAATTATATTAAATTTAATAAGCATAGTTTTTCATCCCATGAAAATTTTTTTTAGGAAATAAGAAATTTAATTTCTGTCAGGTATATTAGTTATTTTATGCGTAATTTACCTGGGGTGGTGCATGGTCATTTTCTTGTAAAATATTATACTTAGACAATTTTTTCCTTCCAATAACCACCCCTAAAAGCAACCCTTCGAAACACTATAAGCACTCCAGAAAGGCTGTCGCTTTTGCTTTTCGGAAGTTAGAACTACGTCGGGAATGCCGTTTCAGGACGGGGTCGTTTTCAGGACTTTCGTCCCGGATTCAAGTTTTGGTACATATGCCATGTTGACCGCCATGGTCATTTTACCCCAAAACAGTTGAGATTACCTGTGCTAAATGAAACGCATACATACATACATACAGGTCCTAGACTATAAGTTCTATTGTTGCCACGCGTGGCTATTAGCTCACCAAAGAGCCAGCCATCGTAACTATCGTGTGCGGCAGACTTACACTTCGGATTCTCTATGCGATTTTTTATTATACCATACACATCGAGTATGAATGGACAAAATGTTCTCTGTTGTGCATGGACAAGCGTTAATAAAACTTGTGTTTACTCATATTTTCTAAATCAGTCACCCCATATTAAAAATTTGTTATGTAAACGGCATTTGCATACAGCGAATATATTTACAATATTAATTTTGACTAAAATAAATATCCTAGCTTTTCTTCTTGCTTTTTCCTTTTTTCGTTTTGTCTTTCCTCACCAAACACAAAGGACAATACCACTTCTCGGATTCCGGAGGCGCCGCCATTAAACCAACACAAGGCCTGAACAGCGAAATAAAATATGTCGCATTAAACAAAGGCACAGTATCGTACGTAGATCTTCAAAGTAGCGACCCCACCCCTCCCTGCTACATTCGGTTTTATCCGTCCAAAAGCTACGTGTATTAAGTTATATTATACCTCAAATTGTCCAATCAAAAAACAGCATTTGTACCACGTGACAATGTGATTTTTTTACGGTATTTCACTCTCAAATTCATGATTTTAGTAGAGACCTTACGATTTTAGGACGGCAACCAATATACAATAGATCATTGAAAAGAATTGAAAAATTACAATATATGAATAATTTAGACATTGTCCTCGCTCTGTTTACAACGCCAAATCACAGATTTTCACGTCTTGGTACAACGGCTGCATTTCAAGCCGCAACAAGTGCAACTTCAAACTAGGTTCAGAAGAACTCTTCCCAACCATAAAACCCATGTTTTCAACTTCTAAGACTGTAATAAATTCATACGATTGATAAGATACGACGAATTATCTTTACTACCATTTATTTGAAGGAGTTTGTTTTGGTCGTCGCGTTGCCGTCCTAAAATCGTAAGGTCTCTAGTATCTCACGCGTGACACGCTCTGAAACAATATGACAGAAGATTTATTGATTTAACCAAAGACTTTCAAGACGTATGTTACCTTCAATGATCCAAAGGATACATGCTCATACATTTTAAAGAGAAAACGTCAAAAACTCAGGTATACATAAGAAATTAAAATTTGTTTTCGCTCAGTTAATATCGGCAAATTTTAAAGTTTATTCTGAACTTAGTACTGGGTCTTTAACTTTCGGTATAATATATCATTTACAGACCCTCCGCTCGGGGGATTCGTCGAAATATTACCCTCAGTGATGATATTCCGCCGAATCCCCCTCGCTCCGGGTCTATAAATGATAATAAATACGATTTGTCCCAGCTAATTCCAGTTATCGTTAGAAGTTATCAGTTCATAAAATCATAGTCTGTGTTTTTTCTTTAATTAAATCGAAGTCAAAATACGAAATTTCGGCACACTCCTGGCAGCTTCGTGTTCGACGGCGGATTCAAAAACAATAGAAAGGGACTGGGTTGACCTCCAATAGCTTTTCAATTTCCGCCATCTTTGGCTTCAATTTTTTGGACTTGAGTTTTCGCTCCAGTATATATGGAGCTCACTGGGCCGCTACTTTGGAGGGCGCGCTACTTTTGGGAAGAATGTAATTCCGGTTTGATCGAGCCTATCCTAATTCGTTTTTGACCAGCCTCACATTTGTAATTAATATTTTCGTCAACATACCAATGACACCACTCATCACAACCATCGCAGCCCACCATTGGCGAACCATCATCTTGCTTATGACAAACAGGACAGAAGTAAGCTCTGTCAGGATCGTAATCCTATAGTAAAACCAACAATATATACACACGAATCATTAAATTTACATAACAGTCTTATGGCGTTTGTTATCCAAGATTCCAAGAAGCAGTGGGACACTCTGGATTATAACGGCCGGCAATGGCCGATTAATATTATTCTGTAAAGTAAAAAACAAATTCCGAAAAGACAGGACATATTGAGAATACAATATGATTTGAGCAGATTTTGAATGCGCAGATAAAATGCGCAGATTTCAATGAAATACAACATTTTCTTGGCTTCGCTGTGACCCCATGCAGATATGAAGAAAATTCGAAAACAATATCCCTACGACCAAGAAATTTTCGTATCGATAGGAATCCTATGTGGAGAGAATCGTGTACATTTTTACTTACAAGAGTGTTAGACCATGTCTCGGTGATGATGCTAACATTTTCAGTTTCTATGACAATCCTTGACGTCTTCTTTGATGAGGACTGACTAGACGATGTAGCACTTAAAAACGATAAATAAGAATTCATTCGATACAAAGGTAATCGGGATCTACCGGGAATCCCCCCCCCAAAAAAAAAAAACAAAAAAAAACTGGACACTGTTTGATTTCATGCAACGTAAAAGCTATAAAAGCTATCGCAATGAAATAAAGATCATTGCATTCAGAAAGACTAACTTAGATTTTGATATACAGCTATTTCAATTAAGGTTGTCCCCGAGCAAAGCGGAAAAGTCGAATCGCTAATAAATGCATTAATTTTTTAGCGATTCCCAGCAGCTTTTCGCGTTCATATTCGACTTTTCCGCTTTGCTCGTGGACAACCTTAATTGAAATAGCTGTATAACACTTGAATGTATATACATGCAATATTGAGCGAGATACAACCAAAATAAAAATATTTATTATTTAACAAGTATAACTACATCGGTAATTATAAGGTTGTTTTATGCTAATTTTTGGCATTTTCAAAAACAGTAGTTCAACGTTCAAACATTCAAGTGCTATATATCAAAATCTAAGTTAGTCCTTTCTGAATGCAATGATCTTTACTTCATTGCGATAGTTTTTACGTTACATGAAATCAAACAGTGTCCAGTTGTTTTTTTTGCGACACCCGGTAGAACGCTGCATGCATTCAAAACCAGATCACAGACCAACACCGAAGACGGGACTAAAAATTATAAAATAACCTATCATTCTTCCTGGCTGAAAAAAGTGTTGAAAAATAAAAACAACGTATTCTCTAAATACAACAGATGGTAATCAAGTAGTGTCACTCTCCGCTTTCAAATTGTTGGTTGGGACGCTGCACCAAAATCGCAGGACCGCAAGTCAATAAGACTTGAGCTATTTGTTATTATTATACATTGTAGTTGGTAAAAGCAATTTGATTGGCTAAGAGCTTACAGTTAAATCGCGCCTACAGATATAACTGAGTTATCTGCAAATGAGCCTGCGATGATTAGCAAGCGGTATCTATTTAACACAAACAAATGTATAATAAAACAATTATTGGATGAGGTTTTTGCGATAATGCAAAATTATCAAGGTCTCGATATAAGCGTTATCAGCCTCGCCTTCGGCTCGGCTGATAACGCTTACCTCGACCTTGGTAATTCCGCATATCACAAAAACCTCATCCAATAATTGTTAATTATTATACATTGTAGTCACTACGTGTCTTCTGATTGGCCAATAGCTTGCAGCTAAATATATGGAAATTACACAACCTACACATAACACAGTTATCTGCTACACGGCTAAAAACGATCAGGTTGTTGCAATATTGATGAAAACAGGATTGAACATTGTTTTACTGCCCACAGTTGTCAACAATATTGAACAATATTGTTACACCCTATACAAGCTCAACAATATTGTTCAACATTGTTGACAAGTGCGAATAATGTGGGCAGCACAACATTGTTCAATCCTGTTAAACAGCAGGCTCATATTTTTGTGCAAAAAGCAGACCTTTTGATATTTTTATCGAACTTTAATACATAAATGAGATTTCTCTTATTTTTATGCTGTTATTGTGATATTTTGAATATCGTTTCCACTCCTGTTTTTGGAGAACCAAACGTTGTTTTGTGCGAGAAATGATTGTTTGTCGAAAGAGTTATAAAATTGCAATGTATAATAAAACAGTTACTGAATTCCGATATCCCGAATTACCAAGGTCTCGGTAAGTGTTTACAATATAATATTTATAATTTTGTAACTATTCTTACTGCAGTTAC